GCTGCTTGGGAGGCTGAGGCAGGAGACTCGCTTGAGCCCAGGAGTTGGAGGTTGCTGTGAGCATGATGCCATGGCACTCTATCCAGGGGGATAGCTTGAGACTTCCTCTCAAAAAAAAAAAAAAAACAAACCAAAATAAGTGCCAGGCTTTTACACTATTTTTTTGTTTTTTTGAGAGCGTGTGTGTGTGTGTGTGTGAGACCTCCACTATGTCACCCTGGGTACAGTGCTGTGGCTCAGAGCTCATAGCAAATTAAGTCTCTTGAGCACAAGCAATCCTGTTGTCTGAGCCTCCCAAGTATCTGGGACTACAGGCGCCTGTCACAACATCCAGCTACTTTTTTAATTTCTATTTTTAGCAGAGAGGGGTCTCACTCTTGCTTAAGCTAGCCTTGAACTCCTGAGCTCAAGCAACCCACCAGCCTCCACCTCCCAGAGTGCTAGGATTCCAGGCATGAGCCACCACGCCTGGCAAACACTGATTTTTAAAAAAATTTTGACTAAAGAAATCAAAGAACTTTATAAATGGAAAGACATCTAACGTTCAAGTAAAACAACATGTTGTATAGCTAAAATGTCAACACCCCAACACTCCACAAATTAGAATGATCTAAGTCCTTCAGTTGAGTGTTCAAATAACAAAATAAGACACAATCAGACTGAACTAACACTAGTGCCCTGTAATGATACAGTAACTAACATAAACGCATTTTTCTGTAAATGACTACCTTAGAAACAAAATTTAGGTTTAACCAACCATAAACCCCCAATTAAATTCTGGTTACATAACCAGAAAATAGCCACCTGGATATTCCAAATAAGATGACTACAGGACTGTAACCAGCCCATAATTGGTTTTCTCATGTACCTTCTAAAAACCTTTTCTGTAAGCCCTTCTGGGAGGCCCACAAATAACAAACTATGGCTGGGTTGCTATTTGCCCAAATAAACTCTCTAACTTTTTCACGATGTCTGCGTTTAGCTTTTAACAGGAAAAAAGAAGGACTGGGGACTCCACGGATCACGCACCAACTCGCACACCAAGTTGACATCCTCCCGGGTGGCCCTCCCGTCATCACAGCACAACCTGGGGGAGACGCAAGTCTGAGGGCATAGGGCGGCACACAGAGGGCCCCGAGCTGCGGCCATCCCGGGCCCAGCTCCCAGCCCAATCACACCGTGAGGGAAGAGGGGACAGAGGGCTGACCTTCGCCACCGGCTAGCGTAGACTGAGATCCACTAACCCCAGAGTTGATTACTGTGGAGGCCCAGGTCCGCAACGAGGTTTCCAACCGGCTCCTTCCCCATCTCCGGTCACGCAGCCGCAACGGGCCATTTCCTGATTTCGGCCGTCCCAACATCCTCCCGACCAATATCCCAGTACCTGCTGGTCACAGAGTGACAGAAGCTGCGGTAGAACCACCTAGACCTCTTCTCAGCTGAAGAAGGAGCGGTGAAGACAGTCCTCAGAAGCGACAGACGAACCTGAGGGGCCCGGAAGTAGCTCTGTCCTTCCGGGTTCGCACCGGAGCATTCAGGCCCCACCCCAGCGGCCATCATTGGATAAGGCTCTAGGTCCCGCCCCCTCACGTCTTGAGTGACAGGAGATGCGATCCGGGACCTGGCTGAAGGCTTTCGAGCTCGGCTCCCCATTCAGTCCCCATTATAACCTGGACTTGCTCTCTGTGCTGGAATCTAGCATCGCCTGAGACGTTCCAGTTCAACCTTGTATAGAAGGTTACATGCAAGCCGGCACAGTGGCTCACTCCTGTAATCTCAGCACCCTGGGAGGCCGAGGTGGGCGTGTTGCCTGAGCTCACAGGTTCTAGACCAGCCTGAGAAAGAGCGATACTCGTCTCTAAAAATAGCCAGGTGTTGTGACTGTCGCCTGTAGTCCCAGCTACTTGGAAGGCTGAGACAAGGGAATTGTTTCAGCCCAGGAGTTTGAGGTTGCTGTGAGCTGTGATGCAACAGTACTTTACCGGGGGCAACGAAGTCAGACTCTGTCTCAAAAAAAAAAAAAAAAAAAAAGATGAAAGGGGCGGTGCCTGTGACTCAAGGAGTAGGGCGCCGGCCCCATGTGCCGAGGGTGGGGGGTTCAAATTCGGCCCGGCCAAAAACTGCAAAAAAAAAAAAGATGAAAGTATATATAATACTTTACTTAATGCAATATATCCAAAATACTATCATTTAAATATGTGGTCAATATAATATTATTAAGAAAGGATTTTTTTCGTATTAAATCTCTTACAGGCACTATATTTTAAGCTTCCACCACATCCCAGTTCAGACCAGCCACATTCCAGGTGCTCAGCAGCCAGTGGCTGCCACATGGAAGTGCAACTCCCAGGTCTCTGACTCCACCGACCTCAGAGAAATAAAAGGCCTGACCTGCTCTTTTTTCCCAGATGTGAAGGGACACCCAGTTCCTGCCAACAGCTCTCCTCAGGCCCAAGTGAGGGAGAGATAATGCCCAGAAAAAAAAACAATCTGAGTCTGCAGGTAATCCACTGTGCCCACCTGCTGCTTGGAAAAGGCAAATATCTCTTCTAAAGCTCACACCCTGAACAAAGAATGTGAGGACTTGGGAAGAAGAAACCCATGTCTTCAGAGACGTGCACAGTCCAGTCCAGTCGCACCCTGTGGAAAGAGGGGACTGAAGGCAGACCTACGCGATTGGCCAGTGTATGTGGAGGTCCACTAACCACAGAGCTGAACTCCAGGGCTTAGATTGGGAGGGAGTACACTAAAAGCAAACTTCTTATTCTATAGTTTGGCCTTCATCCTAATGAGCAGGCTGTGGTTGTCTGTTTCCTCCTAATGTGTGGGACACTGTGTGAGTTTAGGCACCAATCACATGCACATATGTCTAGAAGCATTTCTGTATAACTAAACATATGACAAAAGACCCAACTTTAAATAAGGAGAAAACAAATCAGTAACTATAGGTGCTTTCTGTTTCTCAGGTAACTAGTAACCGACCTCTCATTTAATCCTAATATTTTTTTCCTTTTTTTGTAAGCAAAGCCTCACTTTGTTGCCCAGATAGAGTGCTGTAGCATTATCATAGTTGACAGAAACCTCAGACTCCTGGGTTTGAGCAATCCTCTTTCAGCCTCAGCCTCCCAAATAGCTGGGACTACAGGCATGTGCCAATATGCCTGGCTAGTTTTTCTATTTTTAGTAGAGACAGGGTCTCACTCTTCCTCAGGCTGGTCTTGAACTCCTGAGCTCAAATGATCCACCAGTCTCAGCCTCCCAGAGTCCTAGGATTATAGGCCTCAACCACTGTGCCCAGCCTAGCATCTGTACTGGGTTCATGTGTTAAATAGTGCTAAATAACAAACCACCCCAAAACTTGGCTTCTTGGCTAGAGCCGCTGTTTATAAAGTGAAAAAGCGATAAAAAACAATGATTTCTTAATAAACATATGTTTAAAATCTTTAAAAAAAAACGCTTTGCTTCTTGTTAAGCTGTCAACCATTTATTCTGGACACAGCTAGGCTACTCTTCAGGTGTTATTTGGGCTTCTTCAGCCATGTATTGGCAGCTGCTGGTTAACTAGTTAGTTCTGTTTCTTTGGGTGAACTGGCTGTCAACCAACACACTTTAGTTCTTTTCTCTGTGGTATCTTGGGATCTGTCAGGCTAAAATGGGCTTGTTCTCATGGAGATGGCAGTGTGTGGGGGTACAGCCCCACGTACCTAAGCATAGTAGTCTATTCTTAAGTGCTCCCTGAGGAATGTGACTCTAAGCTTCTTATTCTGAGACTATGTTTAGATCTGCCTAAAAGCAGACCGTCATGTTTACAGATAAGATAGCTGGTGAGTCTCGCCAGGTTGTAGCTGGAGATAACACTTGCTGAGGCAGTGGGCTGCTGTATCCTGTACCTGCCTTTTTTAACTGTGCTGTGATCAGTAGCAGTTTTGTGCTGATTTGGAGTTTTACTGGCAGTTTTAATATCTTACCTTGTTTTTCTTCTTTTTGCTATTTTTAACCTTTACTAAGACAAGTTTATAAGGAGCTCAATAAACATGGGTGTCAGCTGTGTGCCTGACAGAGCCTCAGCCCCCCTTTTCATTCCAGTCATTTTGTCTAGCAGTACTTTCTCTGTATCTCCGAACAAGGGGTTTCGTGGGACATTTTCATCTGGTGCAGCGAGCAGGGTCATGGCTGGACTGGGACATGCTTGAACTGTTCTACGGCACTTCTGTTCACCGACCTTAAGGTTAGTTACTGGTAACTGGCAGAATCAGGAAGGTGTTTGTTGAATTGTAAATTCAGAACTCTCGACATATTTCAAAAAGGGGTTTCATTCATTACCATGGGTAACTCCTCTTCGGTTGTTGAGGATGAATATATACAGTTGTTAAGAACTTTGTTAGAGGCTC